AAAAAATAGTGGAAGGTTAAAAATAATGCCACACTTTGAGTGGACATTTATCATTGTTAATTAATGTTCATCTTTTGACCAATTCAGTTGAAAATACAATGCTTAGGAAGGAAACACCTATGAGGAATGAACCTCGATAGCAAAGAGAGATAATATTGATTAAAGTTCTATCCCCAAAAAGGCTCCTAAACAATTTCTTCGTTTGTTTTTCTTTTATAGAGAGAGGCTAAAGGAGTCCTACCTGCATTGCATTCACATTAGGAGAAACAACAGTTAACGGGGGGCTACTGTCGTTCGTTGGTTTGTTTGTATTTTTCTTTTTCGAGCAGTCCGCAGGATTTTCACTTTGGATTCTACAGTTTTCCTTTTATTTTATTTTTATCTGGGTATTTTTCTCTAGTCTCAATTCGAAGGGGCAAATTAGAAATAGGAGATAAGTGGTCAAGATTTGAGGTGATATTCTTGTGGTAAGGTTAGAATTTGTGATGTAATGATTCCATTTTTCTTCCTCTTGAAGCCATTATATGATTCTGATTCTCACACAATCTTTCAACTACAAGTTGTGTAATTTCAGGAACAAAGTTGGAGCCTTGGCTTAGTTGGAGCTTAAAGGTTCTTTCTGAAATCGGTACTAGCTCTCTTCCAGAACGTGGTAAACATTTTCTTGGGAAGATGCAGTTTCCTTTCAAGTTTCTGCTTCATTTCTGATGCTGATGCTGCTCAAAAAACCCAAGAACTAATTTTTTATTTTTATTTTGTTGTTGCTTTGACCATCATAAATGATTTAGTTCAACATTCCCGACCCTTTTCAGCTCAGGAAATTGACTCTTCATTTGGATTTCAAATTTGGAGTATTTTGAGGTTATGCTCTTTAATTTGACATCAAGGATTCTGCTTTCTATGGAGGAGAAGAGGCGCTTTTACAATACCAGTAGCAGTAAAGCCCTAAAGCTAGACTTAATATTTATATTCTGCTTCAACATTATCTCTGTGCAATGCTTAGAAAAGATGAGCTATAATAACTCCAGCGACAGCGACCCTCCATCACAATCTGAGCCACCCGAATTCAAGAATAGGTTTCGGAGAATTTCTCTCAGCATACTGCTTGGAATCATAACAGGATTGATTTTTGCCTTACTCGTTGCTCTTCTAATAAGGTACTTTATCAGATACATTAACAGGAGCCCAATCCTTAAAGGCCCTGTTGTGTTTTCTCCCAAAATTCCTCCCAAGACTCTACAATCAGCTCTTGCAAATGATCCCCAGTTGCTCGGCTCAAGTCCTAATGGGAAGTACTACAAGGCTGTACTGGACAATGGCCTAATTGTTGCGGTCAAGCAGCTCGAGCCCTTTGAGAATGTTTCTGTTGAAGCTCAGAGCAAGTCAGTCAAGAGAAGGATACAGCAGGAGCTCGAAATTCTTGCTAGCTTAAGGCATAGGAATTTGATGAGTTTGAGGGCTTATATTCGTGAATCTGATAGGTATTCTCTGATATATGATTACGCCCCTACTGGTAGTCTCGAAGATGCAATGAGAAGAGTGAGGGAAAATCAGTTGCAACTTAATTGGGAATTACGTCGTCGAATTGCAGTTGGCATAGTTAAGGGGCTGCAGTATCTTCATTTCACTTGTGATCCAAGAAGATTGCATTACAACTTGAAGCCCTCAAATGTGATGTTGGACTCGCAATTTGAACCGAGGTTAGCAGATTGTGGCTTGGCTATGATTATTCCTAATGTTGGCAGATCAGCTTCAGGCTACTGTGCTCCAGAGTACATTCAGAACAACAGGTATTGAAATTTAGATATCATTAATACAATTGGTTTGCTCTACTTTAATATATTAGTGAGAAATTTAGAACAATTTGTTAATCTGTATTCATTTTACATAATATTCATGTTTGTTAGTTTCACTTGTTAGGTCAATTATGGCCTTCTTCGTACTTGGTTATCTAGCTTGGTTTGAGATAATGGCTATACTTTATAAATTAATGAAAGGATTTAGTTAAAACTGAATACAAATTGATAATCTTAATTCCCCTTCTTTTCCTTTTTTTTCTGCTAGTTTCCCATTAGTCTGCATTGTCTGCACTTGCTTAACAGTTATTATCTTGACCTGTAAGTATATGTATGCAGATGAATCTTAATTGATAGCTTGATTTTTAAAAAAGCTGGATGGTTATGCAACATCTTTTTCTTTTTCTCCATTTCTTTTCTGGTTGAGAACGCTTAAAATTCTACTGGAAACTAAAAGTGCTTTAAGCACTAGGGAAAAGATTAAATAGATAAAATTTAATTTCATCTTGATTCTAGAAGATAAGGCTTTTATAATCGCACGTTGGAGTAGAAATGATTAGTCAAATCAATTAATCCATTAAAGAGCTTGCTTACATTCCATTATCCTATATCATAATCTAGAAGTTGTAAATGATATTGAATAGAACTCTGTATACCCTTTTCGATTCCTTTGTTGTGTGGCGTATTCATTTTCACTGCAGTCTTCGATTTGATTTGTTTGTCTTTCTAATAATTTACACTAGGTATACAGATAAGAGTGACGTGTTTAGCTTTGGGGTAATCTTGGGTGTTCTATTAACTGGTAAAGACCCATTAGATCATTTTTTTGGGGAAGCAAGTAGTGGAGGAAGTTTGGGACTATGGCTTGGTCATCTGCAGCAAGCAGGGGAGGCTTCTGAAGCGCTAGATAAAAGTATCCTCGGGGAAGAAATTGAAGAAGATGAGATGTTAATGGCTATTAAAATTGCTGTTGTATGCTTCTCTGACTCGCCTGCTGATCGCCCTTCGAGTGACGAACTTGTGTCTATGCTCACTCAACTGAACAGTTTCTGAATGAAGAATTTTGGTTCCTCACTTTCCAAGTTATCGAAATCTAATATATTTTGGAGGCAACTCCATTGCCAGGGAGATGTTTGTGTCATCAATTCAAATGGAGTTGGATCAAGAAAAATATATGATAAACTGATGGTACTTTTGAGACTTGAGTGGTGTTTTTGAAGGATTTGATTTTTTCTCATTTTTTAGATTCTTGATTTTCCAGTTATGAGCAATGCTAATGAGATCAATTAGAAGTCTACACAAGAATGTTCTTTAACCAATGATGGTGCGGGTTTCAGTTCTACATTATTTTTATAGACATCTTTTATCCGGAATCACAATCATTTACATCAAGTGGATCCTGTTCTGTGTGCCAAAAATCACTTGCTGGTAGTGGTAAAGTTTCTCTCGTCGGAGATTGGAGACAATTGTTTTTCTTCTAATGCATTTCTTTCTAAAAAGCTTATAAACTACTGCTGATGGAAGTGCAATTTATTCCAAGATGCCTTTCTTCTTAATTTCTTCATCTTCTGGTAAAAGTGAAACACACTGCGTGGCATCTGCTCAGCAGAAACGGTGATTATATTTACTGGCATCGAAGCACAAATTGGAGAAAAATGAAAATAGTTAAGAAAAGGGTTGGTGGCCCGGCCCCATTGGTTCCTTAGTAAGTTACAAAGGTTTAATTAAAGTTTGTCGTTATCAGAACATGTGAGATGTAAATAAAAGTGGGTGGTGATGCTGTGCTTTTTGGGAGCATGAAAAGTCATCCTGTCTAAGTGTTGAAGCATCTATGGACCAATTTTAGCACGCTCTTTCAAAAAGGAGAGACTCGTAATCGTACTTAAATCAGGACCATGCATTTCCAATCCAGTTTCATTCTTGATTTATACTATTAGAACCCGATTCTTTCGATGGCCTTCTTTGCTACTAAGAAAAGATTGTCAAGTTCAAAAAAAGGAAAAAAAATCTTAATGTAGCGCTACGCGGTCAACAAAATACTTGTATCTCAAACGCCTCAATGCAGGCAGCATTGCGCCTAGCATCAACATTCCTCCCCTGAAAATCCACCGTGTTTTCGCTTATGAATTCAATAGTTTTTCCCCCACAATACTACATTTGCCTAGGCGGGGTTCCACCCCTGCCTACATAATACAGGAGATATTTGGTTAATTGCATCAGCTTTTCTCACAAGGAATATCTTCAAAGAGACCTTTTTGAATGGTCAAAGTGAAGAACGACCTTTTTTCACATTTTCTAACCAAAAGGTCATCTTCAATGGAAAAAAATGTGGACTTTTTACCTTTGGTAAGACGATTACAGGCAATGAATGATACACAGTACACAACTCAAAACCCCTTTGTTACATTTAGCCCTTGTTTGACATCCTTTTAAATTTTAAATTATTTGCTACAGTACCATTCTCCACTACACATTCACACAATAAAATATTTTACGCACAAATCAATAAAGTTTCCTTACTTCTTAACCACACATTTTTCATCAATCCACTATTCCATAATACATTACAAGAAAATAATGGCTCTCAAACAGAGCCTTAAAGAAATTCTACAACTTCATTCCATCATATTCAAGACTTTCTGCCCCTCCCCTCAAAATGAAATTTTCAATTTGCAGAACCAAAGTCTAAAAAGCAACAGGCCCCCATTGGAGCTGGTTGGTTTGCAGACTACTAGGAGATAATGTGTACACTAATAATAATCCCAAGACTTTAGAACTCACATCCAAGAAACATTCATTTCTTTCGTTAAAATTTCACCGAGAAAATAAACGATCATATTTTTTAGCAATGTGTTCTTTGAGAGGATTGTGATGATCTTCGAGGAGAATTCTGTTATCCGATTATCAAAGAGGTTCGCCAGAAAGATGATTTTGCAATATAAGGAGCTTATAATTTTTTAGCATGAAGCATGTATTCATATATGAGAATACAAGCATAGAAACAAACAAATAGAGACATCTAAGATTTAGCCAAGTTAATGCTACTCCATCGATATAAACATAGGCTGCAAAACCATGCAAAAACTCCAGAATCACTAATAAAAAGAGTAATTAATTTGAAAATTTACTACTGTTCTATATCTTCAGTGCTGAAGTTCTATGTAATACTTGGCAGTTCTCATCCTCTTTGCACTTGTAATATTTGAGTAATTACTCTTGAGAATAAATGATCAAGAACTATCACCTTCTGTATCAAAAAAGGGAAGACAGAGAAAAAAAGGGCAAAAAGTAACGAATTTTATGATAATGAGAAGAACACGATTACAGCAAAAAATCGATGATGAAACATAAGCTAGCAAGGGCAGCCACTGATAATTGGTATGCTGCAATTCCACCATGAATCTCACCTCTGATTGTGTACATGTACAACCTTGGGGTTGGGGGGGAGTCGCCTTGGTGCGTGTCTGACAATAAAAGAGGACAAGGACCTCTTGCTCTGTAATAGAAACGACTGAAGTTAAATAATCATATAGTGGTACTACTTTCAATAACAATGGTGAAGAATCGAGCACAACGTTGCAAACTCGCAGTAACAATTTGGTGTGATTAATGGCATTTTGACAAAGAGCTAATGTCCAGATCATGGCCAAGTCTCTTCCTCAAGAATTGTTGCATCTCTCTTGGCAATTACTTTTGAGAATTTAATAAGATTAGGTTAAGATATGTTTAGCACTCTCATTATGCTTGGAAACTTTGTGACTATAGTCTATAACAACAAATTCGGAACCCTGGCATACTTGATATCACGTAAACGAAGCTTTTTGTAACAATCAGCCTGTATGCTCAAGTTATTATATTACGTACCGTCGGCTCTGGGAGAACTGGAGCCCATTTTACTTCTCACGAATTTCTATCGTGTTCTGCCTCGTGAGAGATTTAAGTTGAATTCTGGTATCGATTTATACAACATGTGAATAATGACGTATAATACAGCCACACCAATACTGTCGAACAGAATTCAAATTGGATTGAGAAATACTTAACTGTCAAAGAAATCTGCAAAATTTTCTGTAGTAACTGAAACAGGAAATGTACCGTGCATGTGAAATGCAGCGAAATAATTCTTGATCCCTTCATCATCCACATACCTTCAAGAACGTAGACATTAAACTTGGCACAAGATCATAACTGCATCAAGTATAAACTACAAGAACAAATTAAACAGAATGAGGTTTGATTATTTTTTCTTACTTCATCTGGATGTGTTGAAATATTTCAGAAGATGAATCAAAACCCTGAAATTACAGTTTCAAAGATAACTCAACAGGAAAAGTAAAATTCCATCATATATAATTTGAAACTTCGACAATAAGTGGGTTTCGGATACCTGAGAGAGAAAAAGGAGATTGGTTTCTAATCTGCGCCGGTTGCAGATGATTGCCATGGTTACCTTCCATTTTTCTCTAGCGCCGAGTAAAATGCAAATTGGAATAGCAATGAGGTTTTGCCACTGTAGAAAATTACTAAAAAATTGAGATGTTGTCAGTGTGCAAAAACTAGAAAGAGGAACAAGTTTTACGAGGAAGGAGGCCCAGAAAGAAGAATGACCGAGTCAGGGTGTATCGGTAGCTGAAAACTGTCTTTCCACTATTTTTACTGCAGAAAGAAGAAGAAGAAGAAGAAGAAGAATCTATTCAAATGCTAGTAAATTGTTAAACGATTTATCGGTGCCTCATTTACCCCTTTTTTTGGCTGTTTGAGTTTTGGTTGGTCCGTTGCCAACTTGCCATAATATATTATTATTAGGGTTCTTTGATCAGACCTTTCAAGCTCTCAAAGACCAAATGCAATAAAACATGGCAATTCTCCAATTACTCAATGCATCATTTCCACAAGCATCAATTCTTCCCGACAAATTATCGAATATAAAAACAGCAAATTACGCCCAAATTCCTTCTTGGGTATCTCTCAGCCGCAAACCGAATGATTTTCAACTCAAAACCCCCGAAACTCAGCAAGGGAATCTTGAAAATGTCCACTTAATTTCCCTTTCCAAGCAAGGAAAACTCAACGAAGCCCATGAGTTCCTTCAAGAAATGGACCGTTCTAATATTCCGGTTACTCCTCAATCATACAAGCACTTGCTTGAAGCTTGTGCAAGTTTAAGGTGCTTGCGTTATGGAAAGTTAGTTCATGATCGGATAAAAAAATTAGAAAAATATCCACCTGCCTTCCTAGAAAATCATGTTCTGCAAATGTACTGCGAATGTGGGAATCTTTCCAATGCTCGGAAGCTGTTTGATGAAATACGTGAAAGAACTTTGGATTCATGGGTGATAATTATATCTGCTTATGCAGACGAGGGACTGTTAGAGAATGCTCTGGATTTGTACTTGGAAATGCGGGAATCAGATGTTAAGTCAAACCCTTCAATTTATATCAGTCTTTTGAAGCCCCTTTCTGATTTTTCATATTTGGAGCTTGGGAAACAGATTCATTGTCAGGTTATTAAGGCTGGGTTTACTGAAAACGTGTCTATGGACACCACCATATGTAATATGTATGTGAAATGTGGTCGTTTGGAAACTGCTGAATGGGTTTTTAATTTGATGCGTGAAAAAAATGCCGTAGCTTGGACAACGATGATGGTGGGTTATACTAAAGCTGATAGGGCAGAGGATGCCTTGAGATTTTTCTGTAGGATGGTGAGGGAGGGCATTGAATTGGATGCATTTGTATTTTCGATTACTCTTAAAGCTTGTGCAGCATTGGAGGATTGGAAGATGGGAGGTCAGGTTCATGGTTTAATTTTTAAGCTTGGGTTTGAAAGTGAGGTCTCGGTTGGTACTCCCCTTGTAGATTTTTACGTGAAATGCAGTAATTTAGAGTCTGCTGGTAGAGCATTTGAGCGGATGACTGAACCAAATGATGTTTCTTGGAGTGCTCTATTATGTGGTTATTCTCAAATTGGTGAATTTGAGAAATGTGTTAAGCTTTTTAAGTCTTTAAGAAGTGAAGGAGTTGCTTTGAACGAATTCATATACACTAGCATATTCCAAGTGTCCTCAGCATTTGCAGACTTGAGTTTGGGTACTCAATCACATGGAGATGCTATCAAAAGAGGCCTCATTTCCTACCTTTATGGAGAGAGTGCCATGATCACTATGTATGCGAAATGTGGAAGATTAGATCTTGCTTATCAAGTGTTTGAATTGATGGATGAACCGGATACTGTGGCATGGACGGCTATGATTGCTGGTTACGCTTACCATGGTAGTGCTTCTGAAGCCCTAAACCTCCTTAACAGGATGCAGGCTTCTGGAGTGAGGCCGAATGCAGTAACATTTGTAGCAGTTTTAACTGCATGTAGCCATACTGGTTTGGTTGAAGAAGCCGAACAGTATCTAGAATCAATGAATAACAAGCATGGAGTGAAACCAACTATCGATCATTACGATTGTATGATTGATGCATATGCTCGAGCTGGTTTATTGAAAAAGGCACTTGATTTGATAAATACAATGCCATTTGAACCTGATGCAATGAGTTGGAAAAGCCTATTGGGTGGATGCACAATCCACCAGAATTTTGAGGTTGGGAAAATGGCTGCTGAAAAGCTCCTTCAACTGGACCCCAAGGACAATGCTGCTTATATCCTCATGTTCAACATGCACACTTTGTCTGGGAGGTGGGACGAAGCTGCTAGTGTTCGAAGGATGATGGCTGAAAGAAATTTAAGAAAGGAGATGGGATGCAGCTGGATCACCGTTAAAGGCAGTGTACACCGATTTATAGTAGGTGAGAGACACCATCCTCAAACAGAAGAGATTTACTCAAAATTGCAGGAACTAGACTTTTCTGATAGTGTCCAAGAACATGCACTTTTAACCGAGGATGATGATGTCGAAGCATCAAAAATTTCATCAGAGCGAAAGGATCAGCTCTTTATCCACAGCGAGAGGCTAGCAATTGCATTTGGGCTAATTTCAACACCAAGTAACACTCCTGTTGTGGTTTTGAAAAATCTGAGGGCTTGCAAAGATTGCCATGATTTTGGAAAACATGTATCTATGGTCACAGGACGTGAAATTGTTGTTAGAGATTCTAGTCGATTCCATCACTTCAAATCTGGAAAGTGTTCCTGCAGTGATTACTGGTGAGGTTTGTGATTAGAATCATATATATGCAGCAACAGGGCAGTTATTAATCAAAACTTGAGAGCTTCACCAGTTCTGCTACAGTTACAATTTCGTAGACAGTTTGTTAACCTTGTGTGATATGGTACACATTTTTGCCATTGATTTTAATAATACTTTAAAAATCAATGGTCTCAATTTAGACACCTTACACAATGTCAAGTAAGATGTACATTTTTAATGTACAAATAGCTTAATCCGAGTCCGAATTGCCTAAGAGACAGTTCAAACTTTGTCAGTTTTGTTACACTTATATTATAGTTGACAGCTTTGTTTACACTTTTTGACATGACACACATTCTTATCATTGATTTTAATAATATTTATTCAAATCAATAACCTCGATTTTCACACCTCAAAAAGTGTCAAACTAGTTGTAATTCAAACTTTTTATGTTACTTGCTGTATTAGTAAGCTACAGTTACAACCTGTGATGTCAATTTGCCTAATTTCTCAAACTTTGTTAAAAATATTATTATTCTTCATTTATTTTAATTTATGGGGATTGGGTTATAGAATTAGATGGCAACCACTGATATTTTAGAATAAATAAATAAATATTAGACAAAAATTAGTCAAAAGTGATACTATTCATATTAGCAATGCAATTATTAAACTTTATTTTATTCTATCTTTATTGTAAAAAAATCTTGATCTAATCTAGTTTAGTGGGCACTAAAAAAGCAAAAAAAAAAAGCAATGGGATTAGGAGNAAAGTGATACTATTCATATTAGCAATGCAATTATTAAACTTTATTTTATTCTATCTTTATTGTAAAAAATTGTTGATCTAATCTAGTTTAGTGGGCACTAATAAATCAAAAAAAATAAGCAATGGGATTAGGAGGTGACAGAGGAGCTTCCCCATGCATCGACACAGACGTACTTGTTCATTAAGCAAAATAATTAAATAAGTGATTAAATTATTTTTAAACCCATTTCTTTTGGTGTTTGCATGACCCTATTGTCAGTTAAAATTAAATAAAAAAAAGGATAATAGTAGAGGTCCCAAACTATAAAACGTGTAGTAAATTCGTCCTCAACTTTGATATTTCTCAAATTTTAATCTCTTAGTATAAATGGTATCTGTATATTTCATCATTAAAAAATCTTGTTTTTTCCTGTCAAAGAGAAAAAGAAAGGGGAAAAGCACCATCGGGAACCAAGGTAATTCGAAGTTGTAAGATTTCAGATTTGTGTAATTTTGCACAAATTCAATAGGCAAAATTATGTAAAAAATGTAGAATTCACAACCTTTCAACCTAAATGGTTTAAATGTACTAAGATTAGTTTGATTTTATAGAGCAAGATAGCTCATGCAATAAATAATGGCTATAGTTGGATTAAATTTTGATATTGATAGCATTTAGCAAAGCAAGAATGTCATAAATTGCAAAAGTAAAATAAAATTGAGTATTGCAGTAAAACAATATAAAGAATGATGTCAATGAAGTGAACCCGTAACTCATTGCTCAATGCACTAAGAAGTATCATAATTATATTGAACAACAAATTAGAAGATTCTCGATCATTTAGATGTTGTTGGTCTCTAAATTCGCAAGTCGGCTTGAACACACTGTGATCTAAAAGGTAGACCTTCAGGTCAAAAAATACCACCAATTCAAATCGTATTATATAGTCGTATTTAGAGACATAATCATTGTAGTCTGAAACACTTATTTCCTATATGACAACATCACTAATGAGACGACCATTTAGAGGGTGATAGGTGGCAACAATGATATTAGCACATCATTTCCAACTAATCATATATCAGCAATGATTACCTACGACATTGGCATCATAATGGGTCGTTTAGACCAATCTCAACATCCAATCAAATGCCTTGAATTTAGGACAGTGGCACACAATTTTAGGCCAATATTGTAGATGGTATGACCTTAGACAGCCAAGTTGCTTAACACGAAGGCCTATGAATGGGGCAAATGGTCTCCTCTAAATGGTCGAACTGTATTTTCCTCCAATACACTCCAAACTTCAATCAATGAAATTATCCTTTAATTTTCCTAAATTTTCAACAGACAGATAGACAATCATGGAGAGAGAATTAGAGAAAGCTATTGATTTAGAAATTATTTAGCCCGAAGATGTGATTTAGATTTAAGTGATCCTATTTTTTTTTCCACTGATGCTAAGTACTAGTTTAGGTAATAATTATACGATATTAAATGATATATTCATTTAAATTACAAAATCATATAACTCATTTAGTAAAATCAATAAAATG